GTAGGTAGGTAGGTAGGTAGGGTAGGTAGGTAGGTAGGTAGGTAGGTAGGTAGGTAGGTAGTAGTAGAGTAGAGAGAGAGAGAGAGAGAGAGAGAGAGAGAGAGAGAGAGAGTTAATGTTCGTGCGTTTTTTTTTTTTGTTTTTAAGGTGGAACTTCCCCCTCCTAGAGATTTGACCTTGTTTTGTAAGTGTGATATTTTTTAATGAATGAAGATAAAGCTTCTTTGGTTTGAGAAAGAGCTTCCATTCCCTTTTGTCTTGATTTATAACCATAAATATTTCTTGTATTTGTTACTGAATTTTGCTCGTTGAAGCATCGAAAAGGGGGTGGATTTTGCTTCCCACCTTCCTTTCGCATCAATGCCCGTTAGAGTAAGGTATACCATCTGAAATGTGCACTTGTTTTCTGAAACTTATATCATTTCTAGGTAGAGGATATACTAGGGAGTCCTGCAACTACTGAGAATGGTGGAGTATATTATTATTCTGAAAGAGGCGATCGCTTGATTGATCTAGCTGCGTTCCGGGACAAGCTCTGGCAGGTCTTGTTCTTCTGCCCTGGATAGCTCTTCTCCGTTTTAGGCTGAGTGAATTTGTCTGTACTTGCAGGCTTTTAATTGCTTTTTCTTGGATATTTCAGATGTGCAATAATCTAAGTCCTCAACAAGGCTCTCTTGGTGAAGATAAACTAGCTGAGATCAAGGAATCCATCCAGCAATTATTACGGTGGGGTTGGAAATATAATAAAAATCTTGAGGAACAAGCTGCTCAGCTTCATATGCTGATTGGATGGTCCCAAATTGTTGAGGTGGAGGCCACCTTCTTTTCCAAGTTATTCTTTTTTTTTATTTTAAATTTTGTCCTAATCAGTTAAAAAATCAATTGTATTGTTTCATGTTTTTCATATTAAATCTATTTTTTTATGTCTGGATTTGTTCTTTTGCTGAGAAATATAATTTGCTTTTGCAAATTTTTCAGGTGTCAATATCTAGGAGGCTGTTATTTCTTGAATATCGTTCGCAAATTTTGTTCGAGTTAGTATCTTGTACTTATTTATTTGTTTATTTTGCCTTAATATGGTTTTGTAAGTTTCCATTTCTTAATTTTTCTTCTTTGCATTTACAATTATTGGCAGTATCCTTGATGCCTCTTTGAGTTCATCCGCTTCTCCAGACTGCTCAGTGAAAATGGCTGTAATTTTGAGCCAGGTACGCTTCGCAGCACAGCACTTACTGTGGTTTCTATGAGTCTCCATCAAAAATTTCCGGACACCAATGTTTTTTCCTTTTCTATGTAAAGGTTGCGCTTACATGCATGGCAAAACTACGGGATGAGAGATTCTTATCTCCTGGAGGGGACAGTGCTGATAACATTACATACCTTGATATCATTTCAGTGACACATTTATCAAATGGTGCTTGTCATTCCATACTTTTAAAGCTTATCATGGCAATTCTCAGGCCTGAGTCATCAGAGTTATTAAGGAAACGGTATTGCCATTGACTAAATCATAGATTTGTTCTCAATTGTTTTTTTTGTGAAAATGTAGTACATTGCAATGGGCTATGGAAAAAACTATAAGCAATTTGGTCATTGCAATCCAATGAAATGGATATTTGGTGATGTAGAGAGGATTGGGTTTTACCTGTTGTTTGGGTCATGTCCCGTGCTGATGGGTATTGCTCTCTCTGCATCACTGTCTATCAGTTGTTCGAATGGTGGTGACCCCGACGGGATATATTTTGTTATAGTTCAATTGACTTTTTTTTTCTTTACCTTGTTTCGTTCTTTGTACGATGTATTCTAACATATTGAGCTTAAATTTCAGGCAATATTCTTTACTTCTTAGTTACTTTCAATATTGTCGAAGCCTGCTCAATCCAGATGTCCCAGTCTCTATATTGTATTCTTTGTTGGCTGAGGGACAGGATGGTGGAGAGGATGTGGACATGCAGAAGGTTTTTTTTCTTATTCTTTTCTTTTCTGAATATTGCTTCTGAAATGCTACTATTTAGTGTTCTTTGTGTAATTTTTTTGTACCCCTTTTCAGATTGACAATGATCAAACAGAACTGGACCAAACTAATTTCTGTGTCTTGAAGAGGGAAGCAAAAGCTCTCTTAGATGTGGTATGCATCGTACAAATAATGCTGTCTTTAGGTTAATTTCAAAAAAATAAAATAAAAAAATGATGCTGTCTTTAGGTTGTAATGTGCTTTTTCTGATCTTATTCTGTTCTCATTAACCTTCATATTAAATAGGTTAAGCTTAGGGTGAGAGTTTGTGTGTAATAGTTTGGTTGGAAGCAAATAGAAGTTTCCTCATATTCATAGATTGTGTTTTGCCTGTATCTTTTTCAAGGTTATTGTGGTAAGAGATATTTGTCCTTGTTTTTAGGTCACCAAGGATGCAATGCACGGTAGTGAAGTTGGGAAGGCTATATCATTTTATGTATTGGATACCTTTATTACTGTTGATCAGGAGCATTTTTTCTTGACCCAACTGCAAAGTAGAGGGTTCCTAAGGGCTTCCTTATCCTATATTGGCAGTTTTCCTGGCCAGGTTTGTTTTCTTTTACTGCAAGAACTTCTCCTTGTATGTATTTTTGTGGATATTAATCCATTCAGAATCTAACAATACAGCATAACTTTCTTCCAGTTTTATTCTTATTTGTAGCAATATAATCTATAATCTGTAATATATATTAAGCATATATACTGCTATGCTATGAGTTACGGACCATATTAAGTAGTGTTTGAATCATTCCTAAATTTTGACGAGAAATATTTGCCCATGGGAATGGAAGCAGTTGGGAAATTCACTATAAATTGATATGCATGCTTATATGCATCTGGGCATGCAATTTCGTATATGTCTACATTCACATGCGTACAGACCTGAAATATACATTTGTATACATATTGTACGTGCACCTTTTGCACTTCACAAACGGTCATGCAAAACAAACAGAGTAATGTGCAATATGACTACTTCTACACATTGTTATGCATAAGAACTTGCTCGAGATTTCTTGCCTCTTTGACTTATTCATAGCCTTGTACTAGTGAACCCCTTGTGAACCACCCTGATCTGCTTTCGCCTTCTCTTTTCATGATTCTTCTAACGGGTTATCTGCTGTATCCAGTTGGGACCAATCTCTAGTTTGCTGGTCACATCAAATGATACATTAGTAATTGAAGCGCGTAAATTCAAGCTTATTCCTAGATATTATCAACAGTGTCCTCATTGGTTCGATCACCAGTTAGGTCTTGGCAACGTTGTATTCAACTAGTCATTTGAGCAAAATTAAGTTTTGAGCATCTATAGTTTATTCTTGCAGATGCACGTACTCCGTTGGGAAAAACAGCTAAGTAGGAGAAATTTTTTAACCTGAAATTTTGGTGTCCCTTTTAAGAACTTCCAGGAAAGAAGTGGTTTTATGTTCTTAAATGCTTAAATGTGACGGTCCAAAAATTGGGCAGTCTTTGTCCACTCTTAGGACATTAGGTTTAGGCACATTCAAAATGCATATGGATTTTCCTTTTTTTTTGAAGATATGCTCCTATCTGAGAATAAACATTTCTATTTAGTTTCTATGTTTTTGTCCTTCTCACACCTTTTACAACATAATGCATCTATATGTGATGTCCATCTGCCGATGAAATATTCATCTGTGGATGCTTCTTGCTTCTTCATTAATCTTGATAGGTTTAGGTATCTAATTGTTGGTGAGTATATCATTCTCGTGATAAATGAGTTATTGTACTTTGGCAGTTCTGATGAGCTTTAAATATTTATTATATGGAAAAAGAAATAACTCTACATGTTTCATCTATGTCACATGAAGCTTCCATCTATTGATGCTCAATGTTTCTTGCAGGAAAATTTGCTATCTGTGGATTATTCGCATCGGTCACATACTCTGGAGGCAAAACTTGCTTTGCTTTTAAGAGTTGGTCACAACTACAAGAAACAGGGATCACAAGTACTCTTATCAATGGGTATTCTAGAGCACCTTACATCATGCAAGGCTTTGAACATGCAAGTCAAGGTAGTCTTTTAACTGTATAAATTGTTCTAATTGTTCTTTTTCTTCATTGAGAGAAACTGATACTTGTATCTCTTTCAGGCAGGCTTCAGGTGGGCTGATTCATCTAAGGTTGGCCCTGCAGAAAAGTATAAGCAACCTATAGTAACCTTGCCAGTGTTACGTTTGGTCTCGTGTTTGACCTCTTTGGTTGATACATCTGATTTCCTTGAGGTGACTTTCCTCATCTTCAATTCTTTGTTTTGCCAACTTCTATAAATTCAATACCTGGGCTACTTGTAGCATTACTTCTTTTTGTAAGTGTTTCTTATCACCACAAATTTTCTATCCTGGTGTTTCTCTGTTAGGGACATGGTAACTCTAGGGTATTCAAATCATGTTTTGTATACCCAGGTATTTTGTACAAAAATATGTTTGACAACATTTTTGAACCCATAATCATTGTTTCTGTAAGCAAGAAAGAGGGCCAAAACATGGGTACACAAAGTCAGAAACAATTGGCTTATCTAAAACATGACTTTGTATATGCTTGAGAGAGAGAATACAATGTAATGCAATTGATGCTAATACGATAATACTATTAATACTAAAATAACTTATAATAATATGAGAATAACAAATATGAATATTATTATAATGATATTAGTAATGAAATATATTATTATAAAAATAAAAATGCCGTATATTAATAATGAGTGATATAATAATATAATAACATGTATAATAGTATTACATTAAATTTTAATAAATAGTAATAACAAAGATTTTAAATAATAATAATAAATAATAAATATAATA